ATTTTTATTTAAGCCATCTGGGACACAATTAGCTACGGGTAGTTATGATGGTTATGCACGTATATGGTCATCAGATGGAAATTTAGTTAGTACACTTGGTCAACATAAAGGACCAATATTTGCATTAAAATGGAATAAAAAAGGAAATTTTATTTTATCAGCTGGTGTTGATCGTACAACGATAATATGGGATGCAAATTCTGGTCATTGTGAACAACAATTTTCATTTCATACAGCACCAGCACTTGATGTTGATTGGCAATCAGATACAACATTTGCATCATGTTCAACAGATCAAAAAATTCATGTTTGTCGATTAGGTGAATTACGACCTATTAAAACATTCCATGGACATCAAAATGAAGTTAATGCTATTAAATGGGATCCACAAGGACGTTTACTTGCATCATGTTCTGATGATATGACATTAAAAGTAAGCTGTCGTCAATTCGAAATTTAAGAAAATAAACATTTTTTATTATGATTGAATGAAGCTCGTCCAAGTTACCTAAAAATAAATGTTGTTTTTGACAAATTCAGGCACTATTTTCGTGGTGAAAGTTAGGCTTAAAAAACCCATTACAAAAGCCTATAAAAATTGAAATACGTCATAAGTATCAAGTCTAGTTAGAAAAAAATTATTCATACACTCGTCAAATTTCGACTTTAGGGAAAAGCACAAGTCAGAGTATTCGAAAATAATAATGAAGGAATATAAGGCCCGAAATTTCATGAAAGTCAGTTTTACGTATGGAGTATACTATTCAATGCAGAGTTTCGCGTTGATTCTGAATATAATATTCATTTTGTTTGGATCTGAAGTTATGATAGTCAAAATACAAACTCAAATGTATGGTGTTTTTGCTATCATATAGAAAAAAAATTCGATTTTCTCATTAATCAAATAATTTTTTTTTTTCAAAAAGTCTGCATAATTTTTTTTCTAACTAGACTTAATGCTTTTGGCGTATTTCAATTTTTATAGACTTTTGTAATGTTTAGTTTTTAGCCTAAATTTCACTAGAAAAATAATATCAGAATATGTCGATAACTCGGCGAACTTTATCCAATTATAATAAAAAAATTTTCCTTAAATTTTGAATTGCCGGCATCTTAAATAAGAATATTTAAAAAAAAATTTTTTTTTAAATTAGATCTGGAGTATGACAAAAGACACACCTGTTCATAATTTACAAGCACATAATAAAGAAATTTATACAATTAAATGGAGTCCAACTGGTCCAGGAACAATGAATCCAAATGCAACATTACTTTTAGCCAGGTAAAATAAAGAGAAACATTTTATTTTTTTCATTTTCAATATAAGAAAATTTCATTGATTATTTTCTTTTTTTTAGTGCATCATTTGATTCAACTGTACGTTTATGGGATGTTGAACGTGGTGCTTGTCAAAATATACTTGTTAAACATTCAGAACCTGTTTATTCAGTTGCATTTAGTCCTGATGGTCGTCTATTAGCAACTGGTTCATTTGATAAAGCAATTTATATTTGGGATATAGCTGTAAATGATTTTGAATAGAAGTTTTTTCATTTTAATGTTTTTGTTTTTTTAGCGAGGAGAAATTGTTCATAGTTATCGAGGTACAGGTGGTATATTTGAAGTTTGTTGGAACAGTCGAGGTACTCGTGTTGGCGCAAGTGCTTCCGACGGAACAGTAAGTTAAAATTTACCTAATAAGAAAAAAAATTATCAATATATATATATATATATATTTTTCTTTTTAAGGTGTGTGTACTCGATCTACGTAAATAAGAAGAGAAGATTCGAATGAACTATGATTAAACATTAGGTCAATGTGTTGTTGTTTCTTTCTTTCTTTCTTTTTTGTTTACTTATACAAAAAACAAAAAAAAACCAAAACAAAATACTCGTATTGTTGTTATCTGTTGTTTTTTTTTTTATCATCATCATCCCTCCTATCAACGACGATCTCATAGAAGAAACAAAAAAAAAACAAAATGAAACATATGTTAATCATTTTTTTTCTTTCTTCTTTTGTTCATCTTCTTTCACATGTGTATTTTTTTGTTCTCTTTTGTCTTTTTTGCTTCTGTCTATGTTGGACTTATTGTCTGTATCTTCTTTTCGTTTCTTTTTCGAAAACTTCAAAGCAGTGATATGTATGTAAGTTTGTGTGTGTGTGTGTGTGTGTGACTTTATTTCTCTCGGTTTTTACATGTCCTTATGTATATGATGATGAACTCGTGTTCCATTATAAATATTTCATACGAGCATACAGATGACGACAAACAGACAAAAAAAGAAAAATATGTGAATTCTGTAATAATGTTTGTTTCTTTCTTTTTGCTTTCATCAAAATCTATTTAAACATTGAGAATAATGTTTCAAGATTAATTTCAGCTTTTATATATCGAAATTTGATTAATTATGTTTTCTCATGCTGATGAAAAAAGATATGTTGACTGAATTCAATAGATCCAATCAAAATAAACTCTGTTTAAAGATAATTTCATCAGGTTCTCCTAAATCAAACAATCGTATGTTAATCATACCATTTATTTTCACTTCTTTGTTTTTTTTTCTTGTAATCGAAAAGAAAATTGAGAGTGTAGGTGTGATACTAAAAATTGATCATACACACCACGAAAAAAATAGATGGGTATTCAATCATTTAAGATTTTGTATTTCATGCTTTTGAACGAGAAAATGCATCTTTCTGCTGAAAAAAGATGACATACGAAGTATCATGTTCATCTGTTCTTTGAATGGATCGTATGATCAATTTTGAGTGCTATTGTATATAGGGTGTCCAGTAATTCACTAGAGTTGGAGAAAAAAATTTGAATATTTTCATGAATCTTCAACCAAATAAGCTGAATTTTTTTTTGGAAGGTAGAGGACACGTAGCAGTTTTTATTCATAACAG